GAGCGTCACTCAGCCACCTCTCTAAAATAACAGCGAAAGCATTCATTAGCTGGACTTGCTCATAGACCGACGCAGTTCATTAAGTATGCTGCTGTCTCAGTGTGTACAGGAAACTGTTTATAATTCTGCTGGACGTGCTCAAGCTTCCCTTTCACCAGGGCTGGAAATGAAAGAAACTTCCAGATAATGAAAGCTAAACATCTGGCACATTCAGAGAACACTCGCATGCTAATGACGGAGGGAGAAGTAATACTGCTCATCAGTTCATTTCATAACAAGCACGTAGGTTGTGTGGTGAGAGAGTAAGCGCACAAACCTTTCTCTTCTTCCCCTGCCATCAGGTGCTCAGAGCTGTCTTATTTTCTGTAAATATCTACTGGCAGCCTGGATGTTCTCGAGTTAGAAACCGAAGACTACATCAGCACCGCTACTACCAACTAATTTCGTATTCCTGCAAGCGTGCTCGAGTGTAAGTCACATTTTTCAGGGGCTATATGTAAAGTTTTGCCCTAATACAGAAACCAAGAGTCTGATTCCTCACTCCAAGAGCCATTCCTAGCCATGCAAAGCAAGCATTAGGCACTTGCTCGTGCTACCGAAGATGCTAGAGCTTCATCACCCCAACTCCCCAATCTAGACACGTGCGCAAGCCCTGGCCGAGACTCTGGCACTACCTGGCCCTCAGAAAGCACTCAGTGACCTTCAAAGCGCAGCTTGTAACGCTGTGCTTGTAAAGGTGTTTAAGGTTCGGTACCTGGTGTCCGGGAGAGGCACAACTGAGAAATGAGGCAGAAACGAGAGCTGGGGCTGTCCTGACCCCCTGTGCTCTCGAGGGCTTTGCGAAGCAGCAGAAGGCAGAGAGGAATCCCCTTCGGCTCAGCTAAAAGCTGCATGGCCAAGCCTGAGCCAGACAGGCGTGCTCTTTGGGGGCTGAAGGCCCTCACGGGCATCCTACGTCAATCAAGGAGCCACTGTGATCAATCCAGAGGGGAATAGGACGGCTCCTCTCCGCAAGGCTATTAAAGCCCAAATCCTGATCTAAGGGAGATACTGGTGGTGCTCAAGGGGGACACAGATCGGGCTGGATGACCTATGCCTGGGATGCAATGCCCACTAAGACCACCTACTCTAGAGAGGGTGACTACCCCCACACCAGGGAGAATAGCTCTTTGCATCAGGGGCGAGGCCTAACGGGGAGAACAAGCCGCTCCAAGTCTGAAGAGTAGCAGCACACACTGCAAATCCCAGACTAACACTATCTTTGTTGTGAGTGTGTGCCTATTTGTTGATAGAAAGCCATACTCATAAACCTTCCAAGAAAAGAAAATAGGGAGAAAGGAACGTGAGCACTTGCCCCCATTTCCAGGCTGGCAGAGAGGAGGAAGAGCACCAGGGACCGGACGTGGCGTGGCTCACCTGAAAGCAAGCATGCCTCTCTGCAACTCCCTTACTGCCTTCTAACACACGCAGCGGTGCCTGAAAATAGCCCTAGCTGACCCAGCTCTCTCCCTGCAGTGTGATGCGACTCTTGTGAAGCCCTGTACCTCTTCTTGCGGCATGGCCTAGAGGCTGGACGGGAGACAAATTCAGGCCTGAGATGTGCCTGAGATGACTATTTAAGAAACAGGCTGGACAAACAAATTTACATTTGCAGAGAGCCTCCCTGACCCCACTGTGCAAGTCTCAACTGAGCAGTCTTACAACAGCAAAAAAATCCACATAGCCAGCACTTCAGGTTAATGCAGCACTACTCTAGCTGGCCGTACAACATACTTTACAGCGGGCCCATACACTGCCTGCTAATAACAATAGAGCAGCTTCATGCAGGGCGAAGGGGGCAAAACTCAGCTTTGACTGCAGCGGGTGGAAAAAGAAGAGCAAGAGCAGGGATAAAAAAGCGGCAATGCCAGGACAAGGGCGCAACAAGAACACGGACAAAAATTACAACTCTAGTTTCACTATCTGAACAGAGAGACATCACCAAGGAATACCACCACATGGATGTGTTTTACCTACTCAGGCTGACTTAGCTCAATGCAAAAGAAAGACGTTATACCAAAAGATAAGCAATGGATCCATCTGCAGGACTGTTCACGCTGCGTTCTCAAGTCTCTGATGTTGACCTGAGGCCTAAAACAGTGCTAGGCAAACAAAGGTCAATCGATGGTCTTTCCTCTGGACAGCTCTGCAAACAATAGCACCAGCCTTTAGCTATGTCTGGTGTGCAACTCATCAGCTGAAACAAGTGTAGTAATAACCATAGCCTACCACGGCTCATAAATTGCAACGTGCATTCCACTTTCCAGCTGATGCTGGGGAATCTGGCAGATTTTAAGCTATTAAATTTTAAATTATAGGGCCAGAATTTCTTCCTCTGCTTCCCGCCTCCAAGGAAAGCGTTGCCAATGGTCTGTTCCACAACCTGCTCAATACTCAGGTAATTCAGAACCGTACTGCAAGAAAGAACAAGAGTCCAGGTTCACAGAGAAAGCACATTGTCTCTGCTGGTTTGCAGGTGTGCTTAGGTCAAGCGAGTATACTAGACTTTTGGCTGCATTTCAAGCAGTGTGTGTAGCATTAAAACTCACTTGCAGAGGCACAACTAACGCCCATCCTAGCTATTTAGAAATCAAACCGGACACTGCATGGGGTTGATGCGGTCGTGACAGTGCAAGTTAAACAAGGCTCTAAGGTTCCAGAGGCGGAGCAAGGCATTTATATCTCTTCTACCAAGCCCCGTCGGGCACTTTGTATCCAACGAGCAAAAAACTCCATTAGATCTGAAAAAGAGTGCTGTTGCTGCCACCAATCCCATCCCTTCACTGGCGTACCACCTCACGCGTTGTAGCGTGAAGTGTATTACATACACAGAGCATCTGACTTGCAAAGCTCACCATTTGGGCAAGCAACGGCTCTTAGACTTGGTCAGGACAGATGAAACTTCTGGACCTATGCACAGATATCCTGGCAAGCATGAATCAAGTCAACATGGCACGGGGGGGTCTAGCAGCTATACGCCAGACCCAGAAGGGTCGACTCTACCACAGTTCCTGGTTTACTGCAGTAGTTAGGCAACCTCTTGCAACAAAGCTTGCTGCCCGCTTCACTATGCGTTTGCTTCATAAACATGGAAACCCGGAGAGAAGCCTACATAGCTTATCCTCACGATGTTCCTGGCTTCCAAAATACGTCAGGTATACAGTAACTCAGCCGGATTTGTGACCACAAACCAGGAACGATAAACCATCCAACATATGCTGTTTACTCAGCAAGAACAACCCTGAACAGCGTTCTACCTGATTTTGAAAGAATTTAGGCCAACGTGGTGCGGTGAGCTGCTCTGGTTGGCAACGTTCCAAAGGTGCAGCGCTACGCTTCCTGGTCAGGGCGCACCAAAGCATGCAGAAACCTGAACGTAAGACACAAAAGTAGCGGTGGAGTTATTCTCAATGCACAATATTACTAATGCAAACACTCAGTAGGCAGAGCAGGTAACTTCTAGAATAGAGTCCCTAAAGCACCAAGTTTGTTGGAAGCCCATGACACAGCTGCTACGGGCAGTATCCCGTTTTCAGCTTCTGACCTGTTGTGACAAGCACCATCTCTTTCATATGGCTCTTCCTGGTCTGTGTAGTTCCTATCAGAAAGGGAAACAACTGGGTGAGGTGGCACCTTCCAGAGGATGAGGGTGATTGCTCCTTGTCTGCGGGAGCAGGCGAGCCAGGGGGCTTTGGATGGCAGAGTAAGGAAAGCGAGGGACAGTTAAGAAGCCAGGAACCAGCTGAAGCTGGGAACGTGATGAAAGGAAAGCAGCGCACAGACAAGCCAGAGCTTTTGAAAGAAAGAGAAGCTTCCTTGGGTCCAGAGGGGACCTCAATTTGCTACAGCCTAGAAAGCCACCGAATGGATTGAAAATAAGCCTGGACACAAAGGCAGGAGGAGAGTTGCATATAAATCCCTTTATTCCCCTCCCCCCCCCACCCTAACTCTTACCTAAACTTTATTTAAAAAGCCAAACGTTCCCATTTACGTTCCAATAAAACCTGGCTTTAAAAGCCTTTCTGGTCTTTTAGGGAATTTCATGATAAAAAGAAATTGCATCTGCTTTACCCTTCTGTTAACAAGGCTTGTTCCTTAGCCCATCCTCAACAGAATACTCCACGCTCGGTTCAGCCCAGGCACAGCTCCACCCACCGCTGAGCATTTCACAGAATCCCACATCAGCTGATGCTGGAAGGGACCCCGGGAGATCGTCCAGGCCTACCCCTTTGCTCAGAGCAAGCTCAACTACAGCAGGTTGTTGAGGGCCACGTCCACTTGGGTTTTAAATACCTCCACACACACACACAAATGCAGACTCTTCTGCCAGACCACAGGAGAAATCACACAGCTGGGCTCACTCTCTTTCCTCATTCATTTAATGCAAAAAAGCCCAGAGTGCTCGAAAATAACAGGAACGTTTCTTGTATATTGTACATTATTGTAATCTAACGTGTGTTGGTATGCTGGGAAGAAAAGGAATACTACCGAGCCACTGTAATTTTCTGGATATGCTAAAGGTGCTTTAGCAACAAAAAAGTCACATGAAAGTAGATTCAGCTATAAGCTATAAGCTTCATACCAATTTCAGTGACAAAGCATCAGTGATATTCAAAAGTGCAAACAATTTTAGGGAAAAAAAGTCTAGCAGAATTTCACTTTGCAGAAGGTCTATGATACTAAAAACTGCTATAAAACCTTAGAGACATTTAGTGCCTTAATAGAGCTTAAAATTCTTCTGTATATCGTGAAATAAAGGTATCCTGAAAGCCGAGATTTTGTTCTGGATTTCAGCACCGAAACCCTGCAGAGATTTCTTCGTTAAATCAACAGTTAATATCTATCCGTGCGTGAGCACGCTGGTAATTTAGCTGATGACTACTGCTCAGGTGAAGAGAAGGTCTATTCAGCTGAGGGCAACGTGCATTAAAACAAACGGGGCACCACTAAAACGAGGACTGGAACGCAGACACACGGGCGCAAAAGTACCTCCACCAATAACCTCAAGATTTGACAGTAGCTGCCATACACACGAACACACACACAAACACACATATACAATTCTATACAGACAGAGAGAGAGCTTGAGAGAGAGAATCCACGCAACCAACAGCGCGGATGTAAAACCGTGCCATCTGAGAGGACCGAAACAAAGATTTGAGCACCAAGATACTGACCTCAACGGACTTCAGATCAGGTTCCGAATCTCTACAAAGAAAAAGCTTCAGATGTGATTACATCTGCTAGCTTGCTGTCATCACCCCACCATAACTGTAAACCCATCTGGCTGTGTATCCAGGTTGTGATTAGCCTATGTTGCAGGAAAGACAAAAAAAAAAAATCTAAAATACCTTCTCCACAGATACAGACAAGAGCACTGGCAGCATTTGAAGGCATGCATTATGGGGCAGGCTTCTGCGCTGTCAGGATAAAGCTAGCAACTTCCAAATTCACTGTGGTCTTTCCTGGCTGCAGATACCCTTTAGTTATGGAACTTAATACAACAAGGTGAGGACACAGCAGGTACAGTTAATGACAGGACTGAAACGCTGATATTTTTACCATGCCTCTTTCTAGACAGTTCTTCCATTAACTGTGGCTGCTTCTTTTGGGTGCAGAAAATAACGGCTTGCATGCCTATGTCGGGAGCCTGGAGCGCAAAACAGAGGAGCCACCGGTGCAACCAGCTAACCTGACCCTATTATTTTCTCCAGACACGACTGGTGAAGATGGTCGCTACGGGATTTGCTACTTCAGAATGCTATAAAGCCAGAACAGTACCATATGTTAAACTTCAATACTGGTTTTAATCAAAATCACTCTGGGCAGAGAGGATCTAGTTAAATTGCATTTGACCGCAGTAATGCCATAAAACCCTTGAAGCAACGTGTAGATTGCTGTCGTGTTCTTAGAGGAGTAAGTACTCGTAGAAACTCGGCGACTACTGGAGAATTTACAAAGAGTAAAGAATACTACCAGGAGTGCAATCTGTGTTCTCTCATATGTGATTGATTCAGTGGATAACCTTTATATCTGTAAGAAATTAGGTTAATTTATACCTGCTTTTGAGAGAGTTCACTCGCAGAAAGTAAACTTGCTTTGAATGGTAATAAGCTGATTAAATAAAATGGAGAACAAAAGAAAACAGATTTGTAATTAAGAGTTATCAGCATTTGTTCTGGAAAAACAAAATTAAGGGAACTAACTGGAAAAAACAACTGCACTGAGGAGCTCAGCTATCTGAATGGGAAGGGGACCTGGAAATATCAAATTAAAGATATCAAAACCTTTAGTATTGCAAGGGAGAAAAGCAGAGAGAAAGATTTCAGGAAGAGAGAGACTCATCATTCTTTCTGGATGAATGCACCCCTCTAATAACTACCTCTGTATTAGAAGGCTGCCAATGAAAACATAAGGGGGGAGAAAGAAAAGCCTAACAACATACACACCTGAGAGGTCAAGAAGAAAAATGAGAATTGCCATAAGACAAGCTGAGGAAGTCCAAAGTCCAAACACAGCATTTTGCTGCTTTTGATATCTTTATAAAGATTTTTCGGTGCTGTAAGTAGGGTAGGATCAGGAAAACAACTAATTGAGTTGCCAGGCAGTGAGAAGGGTTAATCGTGGAGGATAATCTAGGTACCAAAACACATTTGACCCTATTTTTGACACAGGCATCAGCGTTGACTTCGATATGAAAGGAAGGGGATGATGAATGGTGAAGGGGAAAACTATAAGATACACAAGGGTACAAAAGTGGAAATCATCATAAAGTGAAATAAAAACTTTAGGCAACATTAAACAGCCAAACTCACAGTACTGAAATAAACAGCACACAAAATTGAACATTGCCAAAATATTTTTCTGACTGGGATGACAGCATGCAGTTAAAGAGTAGGAAATAAACTACTCGTATTTAAAGAAAAGGAAGAGAATCATTTTCTCCAGGCCTAAGAAACTTACTTCTGTAGCAGGCAGACCAAGTTCAATCCCATTCCAATGTCTTTCTACAGGTATGAAGACACTGGAAAAGCTGACCGAATTCAGTACGGGTTTACCAAAAGGTAGGTTGCGACAGACTAACCTAAGAGATGAGCTCATCAGATAACATTCTCCAACTGCTGCAGAGCTCCTTAATCTGGGTTTTAGCAAAGCGCTCAGCACAACGTCACGTGGGGAACCATTAGTTAAGCTGCATCTAGCACGGGAGTTTTGAGATGGGCAAGCATCTGCTTCAAGGGGCGACAACAGCAGAAGCCCCAAAAACAGCAGTGAGCATTAGAGGTTCCTCAGAGTCAGGCTTGGAACTGATCTTACTAAACATTTTCCCTAATAACTCCATCGAAAATACCAGGGATAGGCTGATGACAGCAGGGATACAGATATCAGAAGAGATAACACAGAAATTACATGGGAATAACTAGATGCTCTGAAGAGCTAAGTAACAGAAAAGACAAAATTCAGTAACACACAATCAAGGTCATGTACTGGAGACCAAAAAAAAAAAAAAAAAAAAGGAAAAAAGCTTCCCAGTGCACTGGGCAGCCCCCAGGTAAAACCGCAAAGGCAGCAGCCCAGGGAGTTCAAGGTTAATTACAGCGTAACTATGAACCTTGACTGTGATTCAGGTTCAAAAACACAGATGTGATCCTGGGATCCGGAACAGACATATTCCCAATCAAAACACAAAAGCAATGGTTATCACCGGACAAAATACTTGTAAACTGCGAAAGTGAATACCACATACAATTTTGATCTCCCACGTTACAAGAAAGACAAATTTGAGATGAAAGAGATGCTCAGAAAGATAGCAAGGACGGAAAGGAAAGTTTTTTAAGCAAAGGACGATTTTGGCACCACAAATGGTCAAGGCTGTGTTTATGTGGGGAATCAGGAGATGGTCGCCGCTCTAAGGATTTCTATGGGAGTACCAGGGACAAGAGAACAAAAACTAGTCATCCACTCGTTTTTAAGATGGGGCTCAGTAAGTACGCCAAAGATGGTACGGTATTAAGGCCGAGGAGCAAGAACCACAGCTGGAGACATGCACGGTCCTTTCTCACCTTACGTTCCTAGCATATTTTTGAAATACTGAACTTGGACCAAATTGCATCAAAAACGGCTACAAATGTCAGTATTACCACATCTCAGCCCTGACAGTTATTAATATCAATATTAAATGGCCTTCGCAGGCCCAGTTTTTAAGTTACTGCTTGCAGATAATGGATGAAAAATTGTCATAAAAATACACATTTCAAAAAGCCTAAATGAAATTTAAAACTTGACATCTCAAACCAAAGCCTACAGCGCACAAGGAATCAATTCTCGCTCAACTCCTTTAACCCTTACAACAATCTAGCTACAGAACAC